CTGCTGGACTCCAGAGATTCTTCCACCTCAGCCTTCCAAGTAGCCAGAAGTACAGGCACACGCTACCACACCTGGCTAATTTTTTATTTATTGTAGAGACAAGGTCTTGCCAAGTTTCCCGGACTGGTCTGGCACCTGTGGGCTCAGGCAGTTCACTCGCCTCAGCCTCCCAAAGTGCTAGGACTCAGGCTGAGCCACTGAGCCCAGCTGCTTTAATGTTTTAACACATGGCAAAGTTGGAAGTAAGATTTTATTACAGCACTTGCAAGTTTGGTTGGAAAGGCAAACTAAAATGACAATTGACTCTTTTTCAGTTAGCTAACATGATTAGTTCACACATGATCTTTTTACTTTTGTCTGGGAAGAGGATTGATCATCCCAGTTTAGATTTACGTTTGAGAGATTTATCATAGAAAAAATACAAACATGCCTTTATTATGTTTTTGTCCCAGCCATCTCCCTGAGGGGAGACAGGTTAAGCCAAGGGAACCTCCAAAAATGTTAGATCTTTGTGGGAAAGGAGAATGAGAGATTGAGAGAACAGTAGATCTGGGAGAGGAGCCTGCAGAGGGTAAGGAGGCAAAGGTGGGTTCTGAGAAACAGGGGCAGCTAGATAAGCGGGGTCCAAGTCATCAAAGGATGAGTTAGCCAATAGAGGAGTAAGAACAAACATGACGGGAGGAGCGTAAGTCCTGACGATGAGCTGAAGAAAGACCTGAATATACAGAGCTTCAGCATGCTTTTTTAAATTTCTAATGTGTAAGTCAAGGTATCTTAAGGTATTGAATGTAAGGGAGCCCCCTCTTGACCAAATTTCCCCATCGCCTAACTTATATTCTGGCCTGGTTGTGTTACAATAAAATATGAAGTGATTGGGGCTGATATCTTTCTCTAACAAGAGTCTTAAGTTTCTTTAAGAGACATGCCAATGGTGAGTCTTTTTTCACAACTGATTGAGCATTCGCCATTGTAGGGTCCTAGAGAGAAAGAGAGATTGAGAGAGAGAGAGAGAGAGAGTCGAAATGTTGTGGGAAAACAGAGAGACCATGGCACCAAGGCTATCTTAGGAAGCAGCGACCAAGGCTATCTTAGGAAGCAGCGTTTTATTGGTGCCGGTGCTACTCAGCGGGCTAATGCTCCAAGACTCTGCAAACTGGAGAAAGAAGAGAAGAGTTTTATATGTTCGTTTAGGTAAGGGAGGGGGTCATGTTGTATGACTATACATTTTTCTTTTGAATTTCCAAGGTTGTATTCAGCAAAAACAGATTTTCAAAGAACAAATTGTTTCCAGGATATACATGACAAGCAGGCATTGTAAACCAATAGCTTCACAAAGAGAGGATACGGGGGTAAGGTTGTGAATTGATTACTATCTTGCTCTTACAGGAAAGCAGCTTGTAGCTGTTTGGTTTTCTCACGCCCCATGTCTAACACATTTGGAGCTTGCACGTTGATTTGTTTTTAAAGAATAATTTTAATTGTTTCTAGCTCCTCTCTGCCACACTAAGAACTGCTTCTGGGAGGTCCAAGGGAAAAAGATCATCCAGCGAATTAGACCATCCACCACCTAGGTCCAGCATCCCAGACAAAGACTGGTGGAATTAGCTAGTAATGTGAATGTGAAAGAAAGAGGGTAACCCTCCATTTCCCTAATCCACCAGACACCGCACACTGAGCCCCAGTGCTAGGGCTATTCCAACCGTGTTTGGGAGGCTTGGTACCAAGTCTTTTTCGCTGAGGATCCCAGACCCCAGCAAACATGTATCCCAAAGCAAAAGTGGAAGAGTGCCCTCTCAGAGGGCCCTTCAGGAATCTCCCTCTCTGACTAGAGAAACAACGGGACTCACTGTAGGTGGTGCTTCCTATTGAGAAAGCCTGAGGCGATGCGAGGGTCCACAGGTTGTGGCTCATCTTCAAGCAAAGAAAGAACAGAAATTAGCCGGTGAAAGATAAGAGCTGGGTACCTCACGTCTCACCCAGATGGTGCTGGAGGTTCAAGACCTTCCTTCACGGATGTTCTTGCCTTTCCAGGGAGCTGCCCCGGTCAGTTGCCCACCTGGTGATAAGACAGTTAGTTGCCCACCAAGATCAAGTCTGGTCCACAGAGAGGCTTGGAAGGCTCTACTACAAGTCAAGGTAGAGGATAGACCTTAATCTTCCACCCTAATGGGCCCCAGCGATCTCCTGCCTCTTCTGGGGCCTTCAGACATACCAGAGAGCTACCCAGCCAGAGCTGTCAGTTGCCACCAGATTCCAGTACAGTCCACAGGGAAAACAGGTTTGAAGACAGGAGAGTGAGGACAGAGTCATGGAAGGGAGACACTCCAACATGCATAAAACCAGATGAAAGGGTCCACTGAGAGGAGGTGGCCCAGTACTGGTGCCAATGCCACAGGAATAATCAAGGTTGCAACAAGGAAGAAAGTAGAAAGAAGTAAAGTTTATTATTCATCTTTCACAGATTAGAAAAAACATCGACGCTCAGAGGCAAGAGTGGCAGTAAAGAACCAAGAACTGAGTATATTTAAGGGCCTTTGGGGTGAGGGAGTTTAGGCCTGGAGGAATGTCCAGGATGGTGGATCTCTGATATTGATTGTAACCACGTGAGTCTTAGACCTTGACATCCCCAGACATCAGCATCTCATGCCCTCAAGTGGTGGAGTAGATGGGAGGAGACAAGGGGAGGGAGGTTTCCTACAAGAGACTTATCAGACATTTGCAATTTGCAAACTCCTTGACCAAAAGTCTTGGTGGCTCAGCCTGTAATCCCAGCACTGTGGGAAGCCAAGGCGAGAGGATTGCCTGAGCCCATGGGTTCGAGACCCACCCGGGGCAACTTGGGGAGACCTTATCTCTACAATAAATCAAAAACTAGCCGGGCATGGTAGTGTGTGCCTGCAGCTCCAGCTACTCGGAAGGCTGAGGTGGAAGGATCCCCGGAGCTCAGCAGGTTGAGGCTTTGGTGACTGGGAGCGTGCCACTGCACTCCAGTCTGGGCGACAGAGTGAGACTCCAACTCAAAAAAAAAAAAAAGACAACGTTATTATCATTTCTATGGCTTCTGCCAGACAAATGGTGATTTTTTTATCTTCCACCTTGACAAAGAACTTGAAGTTTCCTAAAGATTATTATGCTAAACCATGAAAAGAAAGGTTGAGCTGTCCTGGTCTTACATCTGATGGAGATTTACTGAGGGGGTGGGGTAGGTTGCCAGCTTGGCCTGCAGTGAAAAGTCTGAATGCTTCCTAAAACCTGCCTATTGAAAATTTATCTATGTATGTCTAACTTTTGCTAGATTCAAAGTGTGTCAGGGTAAAGTCTAATCAAAAATGGTTATGCTGAGGCAAAAAGACTATGCCAAACTAAGTTTATTCTATGTTTCTATAGGTACCTCCTTTCCCACTCCCTTGCCCAAATGTTGAGGAGAGAGGCTGTGTCTCTTGACCCCCAAGTTGATTGATCTGCCTGACACATTACTAGGTTCTTTGACCTGTTCCTGACATCTGGTTTTCTTGCTAGGTGGGGTGCGGTGAAAAGCTCGTGGACTCTTTAACCTGGCACTGAAAGGAGTTTCAAAGTAGTCAGTAAAGTTTTTTTGCTGTTGTTGTTGTTGTTTTTGAGTTGGAGTCTCACTCTGTCACCCAGACTGGAGTACAGTGGCCATTCCCGGCCACCGCAGCCTCAACCTGCTGGGCTCCAGCGATCCTTCTGCTTCAACCTTCCAAGTAGCTGGAACTACAGGCATGCCCTACCACACCTGGCAGATTTTTTTTGATTTATTGTAGAGATGAGGTCTCGCCAAGTTGCCTAAGCGGGTCTCGAACCCGCGGGCTCAGGCAATCCATTCACCTCAGCCTCCCAAAGCGCGGGATTACAGGTTGAACCACCGAACCCGGTTCAAGTAAAATTTTTAAAACAGTGTTTATTAACTGTGAGAAATGAACTCATCTGTCCAAAATCAAAGGATGGACACAGAGACATGGAGTACAGCAGAAGCAAGACTTTATTGACAGTCTTACAAGATCAAGTGTCTGGTGGGCAGGCACACCGAAGCCGTGACAGCTAGCATATTTGGGCCCTAGAACAAAAGTCCCTCCCCTGTTTTCCCCAAGGTTGGGTACTCCAGAGGTTATATAACTTTTCCAAAGATCACCTACATGACACACATTGATCGGGTTGTTTTTAAATAATTAGTTTATTTACATGTTCTTTTTTTTATTGGTTTATAGAGTTGCTACAAAATCACTTCATTTGCATGTCCTATTAGGTGATTGGTTTACAGGATTTTATTTTGATTGGTTCCCTCCAAAATTTGAACATGAAAGCTTGCCAAAAGTGAACGACCATGAAAAAGAGAACAAAGAAGCAGGAAGTGACTCAGCAAAGGCATTTAAATATGGCTCAGGGTTCATTTTGAAAATAAATCATTCTCTCTCTTACATTAACAAAAGTGAGAAAGAATTCATACCTGCAAGATAGCTGGCACGAGTGAGTCTATTGAAAAGAAGGTTGGTGCTTTTGCTCTTGACTAAATGCTTGATATATTTTCATAATAATTAATATGCTAATGAGTAGGCTACCGGTATCTGCTGCTTAAGAGAGATTACCATCTCTCAGTCTCTGATAGGTGAGGGAGTAGGCCTTTCTCAAAACATTAATATTGCCTTTGGTAGACTGACTTCCCAGACTTGGTGGTTGGATTTACATTTCTAGAGCTTTCAGTGGTGTTTTCCCCTGGTGAACTGAGGTGGCAGGGTGGACTGAAATTCCATATCCAATCCACATTCCAACCTGTAAGGCGGTTTGTCCCACAGACAGATATTTGGATGCATTCCTATTTCAAAATAAAAACTGCCTACCAGAATTATGTCTAACCTACACTAACTACCCTGCCTCAGTTGTATTTCTGGGTGGAGTGAGATGTAATGCTCATAGACGTTTTGATTCACTACTGAACTGAATTTTAAGAGCAGCCAACAAGGTTTATGAAACAGAATTTATCATCTAGAAAAAGAGAGGAGAGAGAGAATCATGCCAGAGAGGTTAGAGTGCAGTGGCACTATCATGGCTCACTGCACCCTTGACCTCCTGAGCAGGCAATCCTCTGCCTCAGCCCTCAAGTAACTGGGACTAATGGTGTACCCCTCCACCCCAGGTAATTTTTTTCCTAAAGATGAAGTCTCTTGTTACCCAGGCTGGTCTTGAACTCCTAGGCTCAGGTAACCCTCCCTCCTTGGCCACCCAAAGTGTGGGGATAACAGGCATGAGACATTGTACCCAGCCTGGTTTCACGGCCCACTCCTCCCCCAAAATTCAACCACTCTCCAACACAGCACTTGGAGTTTCATTGGAGCTGCATTGGTCTTTCTGGATACCTGGCCCCAAACAGGACTGGCACTTGCCAAGTCTTCCCCCACTCTGCTGCCGTCACCACCACCACTACCACCAAGAAGCCACTGCCTGACTGAGACACCCACTGAAAGACAAGGGTGAGTTGGCACTGAAAAGACAGAGCTAGAGACCACCCCCACGGAAAACTGCTTTCTGGGGGTGACTTCAAAGCACAAGGCAGGCAGGCAGTGGAGCTGCAGTTTCTTCACCTGTATTCCGCGGTTTTGACTCCAGCTGTATCGTGCTTTCAGCTCTTCCATTTTCCAGGCCTTCTCACTATTTGTTCCTGCATACTTTCTTTCTATTCATCCCCCAATGTATTCTTGAATCCAAAATAAGCTGTGCCAGCCAAGCCCGGTGGCTCTTGCCTGTAACCCCAGAACTTTGGGAGGCTGAGGTGGGAGGATTGCTTGAGCCCAGGAGTTTGAGACCAGCTGGGACAACATAGGGAGACCTGATCTCTATTTAAAAATAAAAACAAAATAAACTGTGTCTTCCCACCCCATACACTCTCGAGTCTGCTTTCTCTTGGATGCATACTTACCATCTGTTTTAAACCCTCCCTTGCTGTGCTCAGTGACACAAATACCACACTCCTTAACACCATGAGCTTTTCCCCACCCCATTTTTCCCTCTAACAGAATGTCTCCATTGTGTCCATGCCTTGGTCCAGCACACCTCCCCGATGGCCACGCTGCTCAGGGGTCACTGGGCCGGGTCCGGCAGGAGACTCACATAGATCTGGGTGAGCTGCTCCAGCATTTTCTCCAGTTCCTGCGCTTGCTGCCTCAGCTCTTCCGCTGACTTTGTCTTTGCCCCCGCATGCAAGTGCACTGACTCTTGCACAAGGGTGACCACATCCATCAGAAGAGAGATGCCCACGGTGGCCATACTCACCAGGCGGACTCCTTTGGTCATTGCCAGAGCAGTGCCCCCAAAAGCTTTCTGCACCTGCCTACTGCTTCGGGCTGAGATGCGCCCAGTAGTCATGAGACTCCGGGCACTGGCTACTAAGCGGGGGTTGGCTTTGACTAGGGTGAAGGCACGGATGTTCTTCTCAATGCCTTGCAGGTCTCGGGAGCATTTGGTGACTAAAGAAATCACTTTGGAGGTGTTCGTACCCACAGCCTCCTTGACCACCTTTGCTACATCATTGCTGGTGGCCATCAGGTTTTTGGCCTTGGCTTCTGCCGACAACCTGTTTGAATAATCCACGATGCTGGAGGAAACCCCGGTCACAGCAGCTGCAGCTCCCAGCCCCACCCCAGTTGCCGAGAGCACCAGACTGGTCCCTGCCGTCACAGGAGCCAGAGCCAGGCCAAGGACGGTCAGGATGCCAGAGACGGCGCCAGTGGAGCCAGCCACCACATTGGAGATGGTGCAGTCCTTGTGGACTTTGTCAACCCTGCCTGCAAGGGCATGGAGTTCAGATATGCTCTCCTCAAGCTTCATTTTCACCTGTGGAAACTCTATCAGAAACCTCTCCCTGTCCTGCCGGTCTTTGTCCTCCATGGCCAAGATGACTGCAAATTCGCTCAGAGCTTCATGGAGCGCATCTGCCTGATCCCTGGGACAATAAAGGTGAAATGATTAAGAAAGGCAGTGTGTTTATCTGCAAAATGGGCTTGATAAGCTCTATCCTGTGTAAATCACAGAGCTTTGACTATAAATCAAATGGAAATTAATTTTACAAATGTAAAGAATTTTTATTTCAATGCGAAACATGTTTGTACATCATGGATATTCTGTAGTATTTACTCAATAAAGGATTGAATAAGTAAAATCCACTTAAGATGCTCTTGAGTGGGAGATGTTTGATAAAGATGCCTTCTCACACCAGGGCAGTCAGCACCATCACCACCAAATAATTTGTAGAGTGAAAACTCCATAGATGAATAGATAGTAGGGGAGTTAGAGCCTGAGAAACTATTCAGAGAATCTTATCATAGTGAAGAATTCCACTTTACCCAAAGGGAGGTCTTCCTTTTGTCCTCAGCTACTGAGAAGTGATCTCTAGGCCCTCGAAAGTCCTGCCTGATAGGAATGTCTTTGTTTGTCTGGCAGTTTTGGCCACAGGACAGTACAAGTTCTGACAATTATGGTTGCAAACTCATCTTAGAAAAAGTGTTACATACCTCATTGACATCAGAGCTGTTGTTGTATGACCCTTGACATACTGAGTATCATCCAATGTCCTCCTTTCAATATTTCCTTTATCTTCAGGTAAAGAAAAGAGTCATTGGGGGCCAGATCAGGGGAGGAGGGAGGCAGTTCCAATAGAGTTTTTTGGCGGCAAGTTTGCAAACTTAACCGTCAAACCTCAACAAAGAGCGACAACAGCTTTGATAGCCATTCCAGAAAAAGACTTCCAAAATGCTTTGATGGGTGGACTAGGCGCTGACATTGGTGCACAGCTTCCCAAGGGGAGTACTTTGGAGGTGACTGTAGTGATATTCAGGAATAAAGTATGCAGCGCTTTTTCTAGGATGGTTTGTGAACCTAATTGTCAAACCTTGTACAGTGCATCCCCTACACACAAACCTTCAAGTTGCAACCTTTCAAAGAAGCAAAAATGTACTCACATTTCCAATCATGTAAGTTAGTTCATATGTCTGGTGTACTTTCCAAGATACTATACTGTAAATGATAAATGTTTATTTTTTGTGCTTGTTTGATTTTTATGCATTATTTTGGAAAAGTATTATAAACCTATTATATAATAGCACTATATACCCAATTGGGTTCATTGGGTACATAGGCTAGCTTAGTTGGACTGATTAGCAAATTAGACTTACAAATATGCTCTTGGAATGGAGCTTTTTGATATGTAGGGGAATTACTGTATAGCAGTATGATTATATGATGGCAGCTTTGCGCTACATGGTGTCATTTCTGACCCTCAGAGGAACTCAGGACAAAAGGCACTAGACATCCGGGAGGGGCTGATGACTCTAGGTCAGCCATGAGGGTAGCAGAAATGGAGTCCCAACAAAAACTCTGGATACAGAGGCATGACTTGAATAAGACTTTCTTCTTGACCAAACTTTAGTTAGACCTTTCTGAACCTCTTTTCTCTTCTCTCTAGGCATTGGTCCTGGCCTTCCATGACTTTCCATCCTGTGCTTGCTGACCAGCATCACCCATTTTAGCAAGAATCCCACAATATGAGTTTAGTGAGAATTCCCCCCCTCCCCCATTGCCTCTTGCTATCTAATCAAGTTCCTCATCCCTTTGAAAAATTCATTTTTGACCCACCTTTAGGAAGAATCCTGTTAGGTCAGGTTGGCAGAATCCCCCACCCTTCATGTCTCCTGTAAGTAGTTTTCCATCAACCAATCCAATCTGATTGTTGGTTGTAGCTCCTCAGCTGTCTTTTCTGTATTTGTATTTGGGATCAGTCTCATCCCCTATGACAATAGTCCTGAATAAAGTCCTCCCTACAGTTCAATATGCACCAGAGTAGTTTTTTCCTTCATGGGGTGAGCTTCTCTTCTGGGCAATACTCTTGTGTATTTTGTCACACATTGAATACAGCACAGAATTGCATCCTGAGGACAATGGAAGCCTCACACTTGAAACCCCTCCCCCCCGAGTCAGTCCTATGGGTCTTTTCCTTTGGCTTATTTTAATCTGTGTTTTTCCCTGGGATAAACTCTAACTGTATAATAACAATTTCAGTGAGTTATGTGGACCCTTCTAGTGAATTATCAAACCTGAGGGTGGTTTTGTGAACCCCATCAAATTTGAAGTTGGTGTCAAAAGTAAGAAGGCCTTCAGGCTTTGCAGTCTGACTAACTCTGAGTACTTAGAATTAAAACGGACCAGGTTCGGTGACTCGGCCTATAGTCCCAGCACTTTGGGAGTCCAAAGCCAGTGGATCGCCTGAGCCCATAGGTTCAAGACCAGACTGGGTGTTTGCTTTGGCAGCATGTAATACTAAAATTGGAACGATGAAGAGAAGATTAGCATGGCCCCTGCACAAGGATGACACACAACTTTGTGAAGTGTTCCATATTTTTATGAAGAATTAAAATCCTTCCCAGACATCCAATCCCTAAAAGACTATGCAACTTCCAGACCAGCCCTACAGGAGACCCTTAAAAAGGTGTCAGAAGAGGAGGTAAGATGGCAATGGCATAGGTAGGACCCTGAGATTCTCCGAAAGTGAGTTCCCGAAAAGACTCTTACTTTCCTTCCCCCACCCCCCTGCCCACCACCAGCCACACCGGTCCAAGGTCAGCTATTGAGGCCTCTCGGCTGCTACTGCTCCACTATACGTGGCCCCGAGCCCTGGGCCCCAGAGGTGTGGAGATCCCAGCTCCCTCCCTGGCTACAACGTCTCACCCCGCAGCCCTTGGATATCACCTTGTGGAGATCTGGGTTCCATTGCTGGCTACACTGATCCGCCCGGCACTCACCATCTGCCAGCTCTCTCCCTGACTGGGCGCCCAATCCAGTGGGCCTGGTGCTCACTCCTCAGAGTTTCCGCTCCTCGCCCTGGGTTCTGGGCCCCCGTCCATCCCTATTTCAAGTCACCATCACCCAGGGAGGCTCTAGGCGCCTGCCCCTCAGAGATACCAGCTCCATTCCCGTCTGAAGTGCCCTGCGTGGGGCCCAAACCCACTGTCACCACTCACCACCCACCTTTTGGAGCTCTGGTCCCCACTCTGGCTGAGGCACCCAGCATGGGACACCATGGTTGTGTAAGGGAACAGTATATCTTAAGGAGGTGCTGATCAGCTGCTCTCAGCTCCAGAAGAGGGAACTCCCTCCTCCAATAGGCTGCTGATGGCACACCAGATCCAATGCCCTGCTGTGCACTTGATGCTGGGGACACTCCACCACAGCCTGTCATAGTGGATCGCCCACAGACCCAGGTGAGTGGAGAGAAAGGATGGGCGGAGAGAAAGGATCCTTGAAAGAAGAACTGCCCACCTTGGCCATTTTCCAGGCAGAGATTTGCATTTCCCCGCCCATCTACAAGCAGCCTCCACCTCAGTTTCTAAGGTAACATCGCTAAACAAGAGACAAAAGTCCCCCCTCCACTGAATCAGATACAGGCAACTCAGGCCTGTCGCAGACCTCTCAGGCCACAAGCCAAGGGAACCAACCCAAGCTTGGAATAAATCTGTCTGCTTGCAATGAAAGCAAAAGGGAGAGGCTAGAGATCAGAGCTGAAGAGACTTTAGACACTCAGGAAAGATCCCAGAGCTAGTCTGGTTTATTATTTTGATTTCTGATTTTATTGTTTTGTTTGTTTGTTTTGCTCACCTTTGTTTGCTTTTTGATTTAGACTACCTGCTTGTGTTGGGGGAAAACTCATCAAAAGGCATGATTTTATTGGACTCTCTTTATGTGATTACCAGTATGCTTTAGGGAATTTTGTTTGTGTGTCTGTTTCTCACTCTTTTCTGGCATTGCATCTCTTTTTCACATGTTAGTTGGTATGTATGTCTGTTTTCCCTCTCACTCTTCTCTCTCTCTAACTTCCTCCTGAACCTCCCCACCTTCTTCCATTATTTTTTTGTGGTACTTCCTTTTGTTCCAGGGAGCAAACCTAAACCCGGCTGCATGGACAGGTTGTAAGGCAGTGGGAAACGGGTTCCAGTGTTCCCATACACCTGTTGGTGGATAGTGCAGGTAGATCTGCAGATAGATTCTGAATCACAGATTCCCCCTCAATTAAATCTCAAAACTGCAAAAAGTACAGCCCCAACCCACAGTCCAGCCTCAAAAGTGAACAAAGCCAGAGGACCCTCATAAGGAAGAACAGGAGATTGAACAAAAGAAGTAAAAGCAACCCCACCTTCCCTGAAAAACAAAATTAAAGAAGGGGAGGGAAAGAGGGAGAGAGAAAAATCTACACAAATGAAGAAAAACCAAAAGAAGAACATGGGTCTCTCCCAGACCTCTGGGAGGCCAGACACTGAGAAAACTGACTTTGGAATGCAAACAATGAAGAGACCCCAGAATGACTGGTCTCAAACTACAAACCTAGATATCAAGACATTAATGGAGAGATTAAAAAGAATTGAGGAGAGACAAGAAGAAACTAGAAAGAAGTTGATAAATGAGATAATGGTAATAAAGAATACTGTGAATGAAATAAATAACAAACTGATAAACATGGAAAGCAGATTTAGCCAAGCAGAAGAAAGACTCTCAGAGCTTGAGGACTAAAATATAGACTAACCCAAACTGTCAAAAACATAGAAAAGAAGCTTAAAAAGACAGAACGAAACCTTCAGAAGATGAGCAATTATTTCAAGAGGCCAAATCTAAGAGTAATTGGACTTCCTGAAAAAGAAAGAGAGACAGAGGCCACCCTGGAACAAACATTTCATGAGATTATTGAAGAAAACTTCCCTCATCTCATCAGTGATGCAAAAATTCAAACACAAGAGATTCAGAGAACCCCTGCAGGACAACAAATGAGAAGACCAACTCCCAGACACATAATAATTCACCTAAACAAAGTAGGTATAAAAGAAAGAATCCTAAAGGCAGCAAGAGAAAAAGGTCAGATTACCTACCATGGAAGACCAATTAGAATAGCAGCAAATTTA